AATGACTTCCTTGTCGATCCAAAATGAAATGCCAAATCTATATAAGAAAGAAGACCTGATTCTTTGTCCGTCAAATACTTTATGTGTGTGAACTTTTTTTTTATGCGCGGATCTAATGTTCCTGTGTGTGCTTATGTTATGTGTAGGTGACATAGATGTGCTTAGGACATTTATTTTAAGCACAAGCGCATGGATACATATATACACAAAATTTGACTAGGATTTAAATAAAACATTGAAATGATACATCCCTTCCCATTCCGTCTGGACAAACACTAATGGAACTGATTTGGGGAAAGAAGTGAAGGAAAATTCAATTTTTTAAACCCTAAGAAAATCAAATAATATTTAAGTTTTTATTGAACATGTCGGGAACTATTTAGTAATAATCAGGGAGTGAATTCACTCAGTGATGTCCTCAAGGACTCATGGGTCAGTGGATAAATACTTTGGTTGTTCAATAACTTGCCACAGCATAGAGAATCGTAACTTGGAAAAGTTGGGTTACTAAAGGGAATTAACTGTAACTGAGATAATCGGAAAAAAGGCATGGGTCGTGGAACTAGAACAATCTACCTCCGTGCACTAAATAAAGGGTTTGGTTCGAAATTCCAACGTATATCACATAAAGAAGGCCACAGCGTACGATGGCCGAAACGTCGTCAATATAGCAATGAAGATAAGGGCAAAAGTCCGAACGATGAAAACAGATTTACATTTTACAGTTGCTTTTTAAATCTGTCGAAATATTTTTAGCTTTTTCACTGAAGTAAAATATACAGAAAAACGCTGATTTTATTTTATGTGTCCTGTCTCTTCAGGACATTGGCGATCATGGCTCTCCACAATTTCCTGCCCTTTGTTTTATTAAATTTTGTCGATTTGTCATATCTCCTAAACCCTGTTTTGCCATCTATTTACTCACTAAATAGGTTATGCTTTGTTCCCTACCATCTCTCTTCTCCTCTGTCTAGTGAGTATCAAATTTTCCAAACCCACTTACCTCATTATTTGCCCTAGACCGGTTGATCGGCTGATCGGTTGAACTCTCTGCATTCGGGCGGGAGGAACCCGAACGAGGCTACGCCGAAGTGCGGAGTCTCTTTCGGGGAGGTAAACCGACCCTGAACCCGTTTATACGGGTTCAAAGGGCATATTTTTGGCCGAGCCCACGGGCTCGGAGATCCAATGTTAAACCGGCCTTGTGCCACATGATGCCCTCGTGGGGGGGGGGACTAAATACTGTTCAGTCTGAGGTCCGGAGTGAAGTGTGTCAGGAGTCTGTCAGTCATTCAGAGCGAGCGAGTCAGTCAGTCGAGTCAGAGGCAGTCCGATTCAGAGTCGCGTTCAGACAATTACTACTAAACCTGATTATTCGTACTAACACTTTTCTACTTCTCTGTATATATTCCTGTTTGTAATATATCTGTGTTATTCTATATTCGTGTTCGAGTTCTTCTTTATTGGTTCTACCTTGGAATATCACCGTGGTACAAGGAACCGGACCATAACACTAAACATATTTCATCCTGGGCATAACGATAAACTACACCTGGCAGCAAGGCCTCTCATCGGAAGATTTTGAGGAGCGTAGAATCACCTCTTTATTTCTGATGTTCCAAGGCTCACCTTGATCCGGCTTGGTAGCATGTGTTAGGGTCCCACCTATGGGTAAATCGTTAACACCCAAACTGGGTTCAAAACACTATGAATATCTAAAAATAGTTTTTAATAACAGCAATATATTTTTGAAAGAAAAATTATTACCAGCAATTTTTGAAACATTGTAGTTATCAGAGAAGTTAGTAAAAGGAAGTTCTGTTGTCGGGAAGTGCGAGAAAATAAACTTCTGGAGTAGAAGTAGCTGTCACATTTAACTATTTCAACAGTAAAGGGTGAGATTTAGTTTCCAATCTAGTAGCCCGCTTAAATTTTGGTAATCAGGAGAGATACCTTGTAAGAACGGTTGCCATGAAAATATGTGTAGAAAAGACACAGGAAATCCACGTCACGTCTATAGAAAGTGATTGAAATTGAGATGTCAAGTCAGGAACGACTACATTGCAAATCCTTCTTTGGATTTTATCAACACACTTGAGAACAGCAGCGATACCAGAACAAAATGGCGACAATATTCAATGCATGGACGAATGGTAGATTTGTATATGTCTAAAATGGACTCTGATGAAGAAAACCTTCTGGAACGACACAGTGAACCGACATTCCTTGCAGTGGATGCAGCTATTGATTAAATATAATTGTTCCACCTCAACTCATTGGAAAACGTGAGATCAAGAAGAGTGAGACACGGAGTGGAGCATCAACCGTGGTGATGGGGGGAAGAGACGTTTCTCTGGTTCGGTTAAATGGCATGGAAGAGGAAATGGGAATATCTGGGCAAAATGGAGCTCTTCTGATCATAACAAGTTTTACGTCAATACCCCTAACTCAAGGTCATGGCTTTATTATTCTTTAATTCTTACACGTGTAGCAAGGCGAGAATGAAGAAAACTGTGAAAACCTTACTGAGTCGAAACAATAATAAAAAGAACGGAATTCAAGGATGAAGTTGTTGATTGACGTTGCATTTAAATTTCAGGGAATGTCATGAAAAATAAAACGTGTATTATTTTTTTATTGAACATCAGGTTTTACCTAATTTAAATTTTTATTAAAAGTTTCCCTGACAACAAAATCCACGTCCTATTTTGATTTCCTAGCCAATGATGAAATCCTTTTGTAAATAGAGCCTGTCACCTCTCTCCGCGACATTATTTTAATGGATAATAATACATCTATAATTAGAAATATCAGGTGATGCTGAATATGTGGGAAGAACTAATCGGAGGTTGGAGGCTAAGATTCTCCAGACTATGATTAGTCCAGGTCGGTGTGAACATTTGCTTACACTTCTAAATACTTCCGGATCTGCTCTTGCAGAACACTGTATAGATAATCCAATTTGTGGCACGTCTTTCAACGGGATTCTTTTTACAGTATTCTGTAGACCGCAAACGTACTATCATCTGAGAATTATTGAGGCCATTTACAGTAGGTCTAAGCAACTTTCCCTATGCAAGCAAAAGAAATGGCTACTGAGGCTAAATGTAATCTGTGATAAATACTGCAGATTCTCTGGCAATATTTTCTCTTCCTTTTTTTTTTTTGGTCGTTGTACACATATCTTTTGTCCTCGGTTGATTCCGAAGAATAAAGATCGATAACTGGTTAGCCTCTTTTTCTTATTCCTTTTCTGTTGCTTTATATTTTCGATCCACCACTTTACGGGGAGTAATATTTTTCTCTCCTTTTCCTCTCCCTCCTTTGTTTTTGTATATATATATATATATATATATATATATATATATATATATATATATATATAACGTTGAAATTCCCTTCCTTTCTGCTGTGCGACAATGGCCTAGAGGTAAGGTATGCTACTGAAGCAATAGGACGTCTAGCCACACTAAGGAGATGTGATACAGTTAAACAGTCTGTGGATGACTATATATGCTAGCGGAAATCCGGTTGAGCTGTCTATGGAAAAGGGGGCTTTAAAAACAGCGGATCCTACTGATATTAAGTATTAATCTTCAAGTAAATTGAATTGAGTTCTCCGAGTCACTGGCGTATTTAGTATAGAGAAATAAGTTAAAATTGCCCTCTTTTCTGCCGTGCGACAATGGTCTAAATGTAATTTATTCGATGACTGTCACATCAGTTGGGTTTCGTTCCGGCTTGAAGCAATCACACGTCTAGCCAGACTGAGGAACTGTAATACAGCCAAACAGTCTATCTGTGGACGACTATGTGTACTTTTAAATTTTCAATTTTTTAAGTTTTACTAAAAAATAATTTCTATTTTTTCTGTAAAAAAATTTCAATCGCTACGTTTTACATTTATAAAATTTTCTACCCGTAGAAGTCGTTGATGAGAAAAATAAGTGCAGGTCATTTTTAAGAACCACTCTTTTTATATTAAAGTTAATCCAAATACCAAACCTAGCAGACACTCAAGTGAGAACATTGTGATATGAACGTAAGTGTAAGAGGATATTGTGATTAGATAATGACTGATCGTAAATTTGAAGAAGTTCAGATTGTAACGTTCGAATCGTTTCTATAAATTAGCAGGACTTGGGAAGATTTTTAGAAGTGGAACGCATATCTTGTTAAAGGTATATGCATGATGATTCAGCACTTTGGACGTAGCTAGGTTGGTTTTCATCGTAACGGTCAGAGAAATAAATGTAGCTCTAAAGAGAACTAGTTTTCAATTTAAAAAAATAAATATGCAAGGGAAAAATAAGAGAAAAGAAAAAGTTTTATAACTTCCAATTTTGATTTTCTTTTACCATGTACAAAAAATAAAATCAGTTTCTATGTCTTTCCCCACTCACCCATTAGCACCAATTGTATCCGAAAGAACGCCTACATCTCCCAAAAGGTAAAAAGCAGGATGTATTATTTTATAAAGAATATTCAATATCAATGAAAATTATAAAGCATTTGAAAGTGAAAGTGAAAGTGAAAGTAAAAAGCGATTGGTTACAATTGAGACAATTGGCATAAATCATTCAAACTTAATACATTTTCTTTGTGTTGTATATTTTTGCCGTTATTTCTTTAGCATGAATTAAAAGCAAACGTTCCGCTGAAGAATGATGTTAATGTCCTACTGGCAAAGTGCTGTCTAAAGAACGTGTCACATTTCTTGCTGCCTTTTCGTTCTCTTAATTTGTGTAAGCACACAAAATGGGTTGAGAACATCGACAAAGATTGCAGTGTCATATTTAAAGTTAGTGAAAGTAAAAACGCAAAAAAGAAAAATATTTCTCTTGTTTTTTTATTTTCGTTTACACTTCTTACGATTTTTTCTAAATAGAATTTTTCCAAACTGAATAAATTGAGAGAGTTCATTTTCTTTACTATCGCGGGTACCCTTGTACAGTTTATTTCTTTTACTGTCAACATGAAGAATTTCAAGATACAAGTTTTTAGACAGAGGGGATGTGGGAATAATATATTGGCCCCAAAGGTGGTGTCTGCAAGATGTGTTCAAACTCTGGATGCATTTGGAAAAAGGTATGCATCTGTCTCTTCTCTCCTGGAATTATCGTCAAATAAATAACGCAGTAGACTGAGCTCTCAAGCATTGGGTGTAAACCAGTCTATTAAAGTAAAGCTTTGATTTCTAAACAGTGGTGATGTCAACAGGAAACATCTCCACGAACTTTCCCAAGAATTCATGGCAATTTCCCAGATAATAAAGAAAATTAAACAATGGAGAGTTATCATCGCCTACGTCTGGAAAAGTCAGAGAGATAGATAGATAGATAGATAGATAGATAGATAGATAGATAGATAGATAGATATGAACATAGAAAGATATGAACAGTCTGCGATAAATAGATAGATAGATAGATAGATAGATAGATAGATAGATAGATAGATAGATATGAACATAAAAAGATATGAACAGTCTGCTATAGATAGATAGATAGATAGATAGATAGATAGATAGATAGATAGATAGATAGATAGATATGAACATAGAAAGATATGAACAGTCTGCTATAGATAGATAGATAGATAGATAGATAGATAGATAGATAGAAAGATATGAACAGTCTGAGATAGATAGATAGATAGATAGATAGATATGAACATAGAAAGATATGAACAGTCTGCTATAGATAGATAGATATGAACATAAAAAGATATGAACAGTCTGCGATAGATAGATAGATAGATAGATAGATAGATAGATAGATATGAACATAGAAAGATATGAACAGTCTGCGATAGATAGATAGATAGATAGATAGATAGATAGATATGAACATAGAAATATATGAACAGTCTGCTATAGATAGATAGATAGATAGATAGATAGATATGAACATAGAAAGATATGAACAGTCTGCTATAGATAGATAGATAGATAGATAGATAGATAGATAATGGCAACTCAGTAGATTAATATAAATAGACTGTGATCGATGTCAGCACTAATTTCTAGATTTCGTCTTTCAGCCTCAATTCTTGAAATCTTTGAAAACTTGTTTAATATATTCGCTTAAACGGATGTTCTTTTTCTATAGGTCTTTCTTATCTCTCTTTCAATTTGTCAAGTAGATGAAATGAATGAAACATTTTGACACTTTCAAATGCTTATCAGTCCTTGATACTTCAGGAAAAAAATGAACAAAAATTGTTCATTGTTTCTTTTATTTCGTTTTTGAATATATAATAATCGAGTTGTCATCCTCACGTGTTGCGAATTGTGAAAGAATTGTGATTAAGTTCTCTGGAGAATTTCAGTTAGTACTCTGCTAACTTGAATATTCTAAATATTCTTCATTTCTTTATTCCTCTATTCCGATCATCGAAATTGTACGGAGAGACGAAACGATACAAAACATAAAAGAAAATTTACACATTTTTGACGGGCCGTATTAAACATATGTAAATTAACGAAGAGATGGGGGAGAGAGAAGACATGAGTGAGTTAGCAGATATTGACACATTTAACTCACTCATGCCTTTTCTCTTCCCCCTCACTTCGTTAATTTACATAACGTTTAATACGGCCCGTCAAAAATGTGTAAATTTTCTTTTCATTTTTTGTTGGGAAGTAAAGTCTGATGATCCGCAGTCCTTTTAAAAGGGCTGTGGGGAAATAATTTATTACATGGAACCTTAAAGTGAAGTGATCTGTTTTTATTTCAATTATTTGCTCTGGAATTACATTGAGCTCTCTGGATTTTATCCTCCTTAGGTTTTACCCATACGGATTACCTAGTTTTTCATAAACTATATATATATATATATATATATATATATATATATATAGTAATTTTTTAAAAATATATTATCATCGCAATACCGAAATTGCGATATTTCAAAACTGAAATTTCAATTCAAATTCAATCATAAAAATTAAACTTAAAAGACAAAGTTCCTTCTATTATCAAGCGATGTTAAGAATAACTTTTTAAAAATTGATTTACTTTATTTAAAAATCCAGACAAATTTTTTTTTGTTTTTTTTTTTGTATTTTAGGGATGTTAAGATTTAACTTATTTAGAAAACTCATGTATCTAATGTATTGTAACTATCAAGTCAGTCAAGGTGGACGCTTGGGTATCTGTCTATTGACAGAAACTTCCTTTTTTCAAGTAGAAATTTGTTGTAGTGTGTATGTTCCATACTCAAAAGGGCATTCAAATATTATATATATATATATATATATATATATATATATAGATTGTTTAAACATTTAGATATTTATCAAACCTTAACCTCCCAAATATGCACGTTAAAGTAACGCGAATTAACATCGTCTAAGAATTTGAAGGAAACCTGTCGTGTAATTGATTGGGGTTGTTGTAACTTCTTCCTTTAATGTCGTTCTTATCATTCACCCCTTAGCCATCTATATCTAGAGACGAGACGCGTTAAATTTGAGCAACATCTATCCGACACACGGGGATT